ATGTTCATCTATAATGTGGTTGTTTGAGTTTGGCTTAGTATCCAACCTTGCCGTCATTCAACAAAACATGGCAAAACTAATTATGGGTTACTGCGGCATGAAAATCCAACCAGTAGGTGAGACATTTCTACAGATTCTACAGCTCTGTGTACTATTCTGCAGCTCTTGTGCATAATCTCATTTCATTCTAGAGCCTTTGATGAGGTGGCATACAAATATGTGTAATATATAAATAACAAATAGAATTCTATTTGGGGAATAGAATATCATTGGTTTTTTAATTTTTTTATTTAATGGTTAAATTTATATGCCGCCCATCTCCCCCAGTATATGGTCCTGTAGCCATGTAAATGTGAGGATTAAGTTGTGATGAAAAAACAAATTTTTGATTTATTTTTATTAAAATATTTATAGATGATACAAAGAACAATTTTAAACACTTTTTTAAAAGTAACAACTAAAACAGAACTAAAATCTCTAATGAAATTAAAGCAGACAACAGTTCTTAAAAGACCAAAGGAGCAGAACAGAAATGATTTTTCCTTCTGGCAGAAGTTGAGCAATGAAGAGGCTAATCTACCATCTCAAGGTTCATTAAAAAGTTGGGTTTACACATGACTTTTCTACCTTGATAAAGTTATGAAATAAAGATCTTAAAAGGCTATTTCCTAAGCATACAAATGCCTATTGGCAGCATATGAAGAATTTAGCTGTGCAATGTAATGAAAAAAAATTCTAATTCATTTGGTACAAAGAGATCTGATCAAAATGAGTGCATCCAACTTAAGTGCTGCAGAAGAATGAGAGCTTATCTTCAGAACTTGGGAAAGTTTCAAATACATTCCAGGTTGTTACCAACTAATGCTCACTCAGCGTACCTTCTGAAATGTACAGATATTTTTCATTCAGGACCTTGTAAGAAAGTGTTCTGCATCACAAAGTATGTTATTATAATTGGTACCTTTTTTAGCAGCCTCAGCAGAGTTTTACAGATATCAAGTTGAACTACTTCATCAGATCGAAGTTATAATATATTAACGAACAATCCATTTTCAGCCTATGCTGCTCCAGTGTATCCAGTACCAGCGTATAGAGGATAAAGGAATCCACTCTCTAAAATGTGATGATTTGATTATTCACATTTAGTAAGTTCACAGAAAACCAAACCTTTGAGGGACAAACAGCTATTCTTTGTGACCTGTGCTGTAGATTCCCACGTCATCAAAACTTATGATAGTCTGTGAAAACCTCATTGATTTAGCATTTGGGAATTTGTCTGCTGACTGTCATGTTGTTCCAGTGTCTGACACAAACCACAAAGAGTATCCATTCTTCTAAAATGTTGTTTTTACTTTTGCCCTGCAAGTTTCCCACTGTGATTTCTGATCAGAAGTTTGATGCCATGGTGGGCTAACATCTTAAGTTATGCTGTTACGCACCAGCTGGTGGCAGCAGACCAAGGCAGAAACCTAGATGTCTAAATTATGCCCAGGAGTTAAGATATTGAAGGCAAACTAGTAGAAAGAGTCCTATTTTTGTTCATTGTAGGATTATTTAACATTTGATCCTGTAATTTCTACACAGAGTTCGGAGTTTGCTATTGATCTGGGGTGGATTTAAATTGTTAAAAAGGAACAACTGAAGTATATGTGATTTATTCTGAATAGCTTCAGCTTAAGCAACAGGCTTGCTTTTTACTGGTATAATAAAATAGGAGAAGGTGCTGACAGTTGTTTTTTGATTCCTGTTTCAGAGGTTATCTTTTTCAACATCTGTCAATTTATTTTTGCACTCAAAATTTTAATCTAATTTTGGGTGGCTGTGGTGTGAATCAACCTGTGTTTTGTCATGAATATATAGAAACGCTATCCTGTTTAATGGTTAGTAAGAATTACTGCATTTCTCAGCTGAGTTTTTATAATTTTCCAGTGTCTAAGTAAAGAGTGGAAGATAATTTGTTTGTTTGTTTTAAAAAAAACTATTCTACATATTTGAGGGGAAATGCCAGTGTACTTGGGAAGCTGTAATTTTGTGAAAAAAGATAGCAAAGGGGAAGGGTGCTGTCATTCAGTTTTTCCTGTCTGAGTAAGTACCTTGACCCTAGTATGAAAAAATCAGAACTCAGAACTCAGTCTTACATATAGACTGTGATCCTTAAGGGCCTTAAGTGCATTTTCTGTTTTAAGAATATAAGAAGAGCCATGCTGGACCAGATGAATGGCCTACTTAGCATTCTGTCTGACTAAGTTGCCAATCAGTAGCAGATTCCAGGACTTCTATAATGTTTATTTGATGTTTAGCACCTAACAATAATCACAGTTAGTACCTGACAGTAATGCAAGTGTAGTACTGGCTCACTGCTAAACATTATTGGTCATTACAAATTTGATGCTCTTTCATTGAGCTCTGTCCTGCTCTGTTTATCCTTACAACAATCCTGTTATGTAGGTTTGAACTGAGTGACTAACCCAAGATCAACCAGTGAGCTTCATGCAAACTTTGAACACTAGAATCTCAAGACATGTTCTGATTAGCCACTTTTCCATTTAACCACGTGCTTCTTCCTGTTCCGTGCCAAATTCTGATGCAAATTCCTCTTCTTTTCTGATTTGCCTATAAAAGTCCACAAATAGTTTTATCATGACTAAGGCTAACTATTATTTCTTTTAAGTCAAGGAAAGAGACCAAGTAAAAGCAAACATATATAATGAAGTTGTGTGGAGTAGGATTAATGTGAAAGGTCCTGGAGAAGAAATGTGCATTTCCGAAGCAGGTTCCTGATTAGATTAGACATTCTCAGAGAGCCAGTGTTGTATCTATAGTGGGTCACTGAGAAGGTCCCTGATGCTTTTGGCTGAGTGAAACAATCTCAATTTACCACTGTCAAGATGTGTCAGAATTGCATTTTCAAAAATCCCAGTCAGTGTAATTTTTGTTACAGTTCCAACATACATCTTGAGAGTGCCATGTTAAGAAAGGTTAATGAGAATTAATAGGCTTTTAGCACTAGCTAGAAATATTGCATATTGCACTCATTCTGCAGTGAGTTTATTCTCTGATTATGGTATTTACATTTACCATATTCAACTTTTCTGTTGCTGTGGAACAAGTTTGGCTAGCATTGGGCCCAAGGATTTTGGTTGTTTTCTCATTACAGGATCTTCTTATGTACAGTGTCCATCAGCTTGGTAAAGATGAAAAATTTACACATGCAAGCATTCTCTTGATGAGGAGGCTATGCCATACCACTAATAGTCAATACATGTTAAAATTACATCTCTTAATATTCATTTGTGTCAAGGCTCAGTATAACAGACTGTTTTTATTTATAGAGGTATATGTACACCCAGGAATAATAATAATAACAACAACTTATTAAACTTGTATGCTGCCCGACTCTCAATGACTGACCATATATATACTCTTACATAGTGTGTGTCATCTGTACACATTTATTGTAGGTTTTATTTCAAATGGAATTAGCAACCCTAGGTGGAGATGATGGAGAAGCTGCGTATGACACAATATTTTTCTCTATGTTCCTAATTTGTTTTCTGTCTATTTTTTCATGGTGTGTGTTGTCTTAAATTGTCTTAAATTCAGGTTAGATTTTCCTTCAAGTGTGTAGAGTAATGAGTTTCTAACTTATTATTTTTGTTTTTTGTCTTTGGGCAGTCATAGAGATGTATCAAAGCTAAAATTGTTTCTTCTTTAAATTCAGTAGGATTTAGCTGGTGCTCAAACACATCTTCCCTTTCTCACTTTTTGGAAACCTGTAAATTCAAACAATTCAGACTTGCAACTGACAAGCATCTATTGTATTCTGCAAAAACCTCCTCATCCTCCTCTTCCATTTCATATACCGTAACCCCCTTGCTAACAAGGAGAGCTCATCTTTGGTTCACAGGAATAGGCTCAGCATACTGTCTCAATGCAAGTCTTAACTACTTCCAAACTGTGCAAAATCAAAGCTTTCCCAAATATAAATACATTAATTTAATAGAAGTTCATTAGCTCTTGCTCTCACTTCTGTTTAAACCAAAACTTGTACCGATTCTGTAGACTGAAAAGCCAGCATGTTATATGATGTCAGGACAAATGCTAATATTTGCAGAATGTAGAAAGACATGGACTTGAGGTGGGGGGGGGGGAAGGAGTATATTAGTACTTTGAGCATAGAGCTCTGGATGCTCGATGCTGCTTTTTGTGAGTTTTGCAGTTCAGGTTGAGGAAAGTGCTAATTAATTGATTGGCTTCAGTTAATTAAAACATAGTTGCTTAAAGGGTATTCAGTATGTTAGAAGCCAATAGTCTTTTAGGATCTAGTTCTGCAAAAGACAGGAAAAAGAAATTAAAATTTCTAGATGCCTGATTAAGTTTCATAGAAGCTTCAAAATTCACCTCTTAAAAAATGTTTGAATCATTTAAATCCATGAGTAAAAGTGACACTATGCTTTTATTCATGGGTGTGAATACTTCCATGAATCAAAATTATAACTCAGGAAGCAAATCAATATGATTGTGTCACACACAACACAAGATTTTCAATGGAAAAAAATGTTGATTTGATTATGTGGAAAGGGATGGAGAAGAAAACTCCCAACTAAAACTGGGTGTTAGGCTACACTGGCTTTTAAATGAATGATTTGAATAGTTGGAACATCACAGTGGTACGAAAGGAAGAACTACAGTAGATGTTTGACTTATCACTACTGTAAACAGTTTGCTCAAAGTCTAATGCTCAGCAAATAAGTGCAGTATTATACATATAACCTACCATTATGAATACATCTATTTAGAAATGACACAAGTGTCACTGATTTGATATTACTCTGTTAGTATTTTTGAGTTATTCTCTTGAGGTCATGTGGTTGAGTTTCAAATTGCTTTTAGTTTTAGGAGTAAGAGTGAATCGGTAGCATTCAGGTAACTGACTGTGCTTATCAGGTCAAACGCCACATTCTTAGCCTCATCCTAAAATGTTTTATATTTTTATACAGATCTACTGGAAAAGACTATCAGGAAGGAAGAAGAAATATGTACACTTCAGGTATTTTCCTTAATTGGATTGTACTGTGGTGCCTATTAATAGGAGGAAAGCTGTGAGGCTTAGTGATATAATATAATCCTCTGTGCATGTTGAGTCCAAAGGTCATGGCTTAATATATGCTAGTTGGAGCCAAAAACTCAGAGTTACATTAGTTACCAGAATGTTTCTGAGCCCAGGTTTAATTCCCTAGCCTAAGAGCCTAATGATACTTGTCGAAAGGACAGATCTGGGCTAGATGGTATTCCCCACATCCTACCTTTTAACCTTTACAGATTAAATTGTGTTTTCCTAATTATGACTATCCCAAACTGTTTGTTTCACAAACTGTTTCATTGTGGTTTGACAGTGATGGCTCAGCACTTTGACTGGGCGGGTGTTGGTTTCTGGGTGCCAGCCAATAATTATATAATAAAGCCAACTTAAGCAGCTTGTAGCATTTCCCATGTGTTTTTAAAATTTGCTGTTGTCTGATCTATATCTGAGGCCAAAACTGAAATTTAGGTTGTGTTTTCCCGTGGCCTGTGGGTAATAGATCCAGCCCATCAGCAAAAAGAGATCTTCCCCCCACACAACCAAAGCTGTATTTAATTTGCCTATTTTGGAAATTCACATACACAAACACCCACAAATATAGTTAGTTAGTTATGCTGATAAGATACAATTTTATGTGGAAGTGCTAAGAACAGAACAGACAATATTTTTCTGAAGAAAAAAAATAAAGGTCATTATTTCTTTAAAATGTACAATACAATATTAATATGCTATACTCTGGACAATAAGAGAAAATTGGGTATTGTACATTTCCATAACATTTTAAAAAGAAATTCTAGAAGATCGCTTTTGCCTTCAAAACCACTGTTTTTGGCAGATTTCTGTGTTTCTCTTATAACCCCATCTGCTGCATAAAGACCACATTTTTAACTCTTTGCACTTTCTTATGCATTAGTAAAATGTAATGGTGGAGACTGAATTGTAAACTGAGAAGTTCAGGAATCAAAATTTCTCTTTCCTTGGACTTAAGTGTGTCACCATTTTATCAACTCAGTTGCAGCTGCATGCTGTATAGTAAGAAAGAGCACTCTTTGAGAAGAGAACACAATTCTTTGGTTAATCTGTGGATTGTTGCATACCTATGTGAGCATAGGTGAAGCAAGCTAGCCTTTTTCTTTGTGTCTCACATCCCTTCTGTTTGTCCTCTTTGTGATACCCTCTTCTTGTTTCACATATAATGCTGCCAGAGAAGAGAGAGATAACTCTTGCCAGAAATCTGAATGGATTGCTTACAGAGGGCTTTGAAAGTCATAGATTTCCCACCCCATCTTATATGGTTGCTGTAACCCTGTTATTTTAAATATATTTTCAAGTATTAAGGCTAGTCAGTTGCAAGTCTTTGTATTCTCTAGGTCAGTATTTCTAACCGTGGTGACTTGAAGATGTGTGGGCTTCAACTCCCAGAATTCTCCACCCAGCGTGCTGGCTGGGGAATCCTGGGGGTTGAAATCCATACATCTTCAAGCTGCCAAGGTTGAGAAACATTGCTCTAGGTTAACCAGTCACTAATCAACCAGCCCATTTAAAACCAAACCAAATACAGAACAAAATAAGACAAACACCTAAAGAAAAAAAAATGGCTATGGAAGCCAGAGTTCTTCCTGAAAACCAAAAGAGGATTGAGGGATGGGAAAACAGGTCAGGGACTGAACAGAAAGAAGCAGCAACACAAGAAACCAATAGAAACAATTGGAGCTACAGATTTGCAGACAAAGAAGACATCATCTCCCCCATGCACATCAGCGTACCTATGTTGCTTGGATTCAGCTGTTGGAGGCAGAAAAACATCACTCCAGAGTAGAGTACCTAAAAGTGTTCTCAGGCTGCCTTAGCTGAGGATGGACAATGAGATACAGGCAGTGACAAAGACATGTCCTCTAGAAGTGGTTAGTAGGCTGTCATTGCACTGGGTCAAAGAGGCTGTGTGGATTTGTGCTACTGTATATATGTGCTAAATGCTTTCATCCTTCTCTTATTTTTCCTTCTCTTACAACTATATGGGAAAAAAAGAAGGAAATGTTGTGGTACCACTTAAGAATTCCTTGTATGATTTGATTCCCCTCGGCTGCAGACTCTGTATCTCTAGAAATCTACCTTGAAAGATTGGGAGAATCCTCCATAGGGGTGTGTGAGATAGTACTGTGGCTCAGAGTAGAAAGCACTCAGCTGATGTCACCACTTTATGTTCTTCCTCCCATTTGGACCCCTCTGCCAATGGAAGTAGCCCTTCCATTCATGGAGGAGAAACTCTTGATCCAACAATGTAGTATTAGTGTTGTTGTTGTTCCCCCATGTTTGAGTCTCAAACTTCACATGTTTTAGACACCTTTCTCTTTATACTGACACCTTTTTAAAATTAGAAAAGGATCAAATATCCTACCTCCTTAAATTTTTTTTTAATAATATTTTATTGAAATTTTAAAATTACAAGGTTAAAAGTCAGAAATGAA